GCGATAATATTTCAAATGTCTCTGGTCAAACCAGCAATAAAACGTCACAATATAATATCCAGGTCAATGTTTCTGCAGGTTTCACCTCTGATTATCCTTATTTAAAAAGTCATCTTCAAAACCTGCATGTTACTGGTGTGGCTAGTCGGGTAACACCAAATGAATCGGTCAATGCACCTTTTGGTGGGTTGGCATCTCAGTCGAAGCAGGCTGATGACTCTTGTGAGAGAGCTCAAACTAGTCAATTGGGAAGGAAATCAGCACGTCACATACCCAAAATTGCTCCAGATAATGACCTTGCTTCTTCTTCAGAGACTTCTTGGCCAAGTAGTAGCAACCAAAACCATGCGAGGGACCCAGGCCAGCAGTTTCCAGTGTTGGAGGCTATGCCAGCTTCCCAACCTTCTGCTCCATCTGAATCTTTACAGCAAGGTGCTTTTACCAAAATTTTGCCTAATGTATGGACCAATGTCTCAGCCCCACAACATCTATTGGGAGCCCAGTCTTCTCGGTCCTCGCAAAATTTGTTTAAGTCCCACCCTCAGTCAAATATTAACTCAGAAACAACTCTTCCTGGAATAAAGAAGCTAGATGATCAAATTGCCCGGGCTGTAGGGAGTGGTGGCCAATCTGGGTTTCCTGCAGGCTCTGCTAAACCACAAAGCTTTGTTGGAGAAGAGCAACCAGCAAAAGCCCAGCAGGTATTGCCTGAGAATGATGCCAGCCAAAATCCTGCAATTACACAAAGAGACATTGAAGCTTTTGGCCGTTCTTTAAGACCAAATAGTTCTGTACATCAGAACTATTCATTGTTGCATCAGGTGCAGGCCATGAAAAATACAGAGATTGATCCAAGTAGTAGGAGTGTCAAAAGATTTAAAGGTCCAGACTCTGTTTTGGATGCTCAGCAGCAGGTAAGTTCCCAAGGAGCGGAGCAGTTATCCTATGGATCTGATACTATGATGAGAGATACTCCAATTAATCGTCCATTAGTTCCTTCTGGGGATCCTAAGATGCTAAGCTTTTCATCAAGCACTGGAGATAACTGTGAGGCACATTTATCTTCTAATGACATCCTGGCATTTGCTCGGAATGATTCCCAGCATTTCCCCAATGGTAATAATTCATCTGCTAATCTCAGGGGTGAACACTCTCAGATCAGTCCTCAGATGGCTCCATCCTGGTTTGATCGGTATGGAACATTTAAAAATGGGCAGATGTTGCCTATATATGATGCGCGCAAAATTGCCATGCTGAAGGCTACAGAAAAACCCTTCATTGTTGGTAGGCCGTCTTCTGACAATCTGCATGCTCTTCATTCAAGTGAGCAGGTTAATGCTGCTGCTGATGCTAGTCAGCTGGATAATACCCAGCAAAGCTCAAACCTCATGCCGATACCAAGTGAGCACATATCCCCTCACTCACTGCCTCCTGATATTACAAATCAGAATTTGGTTGTTGTGAGAGCAAAGAAGCGTAAAAGTATGACATTTGAGCTTCTACCATGGCATAGAGAAATGACACAGGGTTCTCAAAGGCCTCAGAACATAAGGTGATTGGAATAAGTATCCCATTTTCTTCAATTATTTTTAACAGTATACATTTCAATGACCAAAGCCACTAAAAAGTTTCCCAAGAATAATTTGCTAATATGCAAAAAATAGTTGCCATCTTGACTTTTCTCTCACTATTGTTATGCTTTTCATCGTTTTTGGAATTATATTGAAGTTTTCTGTTAATCACAGTGTGGCAGAGGTGGGATGGGCCCATGCAGCAAATCGATTGATTGAGAAGGTATGTTCAGTGTTCAACTGTCTTACTTTGATCTTATGTTATTCCTTCTTAGAACTCTGATGGTCTTAGCTGAAGGACATTGATATAATCACAGGTTGAAGATGAACCTGAAATGATTGAAGATTGGCCTCCAGTGCTAAGATCAAAAAGAAGGCTTATCTTGACAACACATCTTATGCAGCAACTACTTTGTGCTCCTCCAAGAGTAGTTCTTTCTGCAGATGCTAGTAAAAACTATGAGACTGTGGCCTATTTTGTTGCCAGATCAGCCTTAGGAGATGCATGCAGCACAGCATATATACCTGAAAGTGATACTGCTGTTCCTGCTGACTGTGGAAGCACGTAAGAACTTGTAAATGTGTTTTCACTGGCTCTCATCTGAGAATCTTTGTTGTTAGTAAGCTTACTATCTTCTAATATATTATTTTTTTTATCAATTTGCTTTTAGCATCTCTGAAAAGTTTAAGAAGTCAGAGAGAAATGGTAATCAGTCCATCTTAAAGGCTGCAGAAGAGTTTATCATCAGAGCAAAGAAGCTGGAAAATGATTTACAGAGGTAAACTGACGTCTAGTTTTACCAATATATTATAGCATAATCTTGTCTTCTGCTAGTCTTTCTTAACATTGTTATTAATGTGACCATTCAAGTTGTTTATGGATTTTGAATTTCAATGTTTCATGGTAAGAACTTCCCCTTGCAGGCCTCGCATTAAGTTTGATTTTATTGTTGTCTTAGGGGTGTCAAGGTGTTATAATATCCGTTAATTTATTGGTAATGAGGCTGATATGGCTCTTAACTGAGCAGAATTACACTGAATGATCTACTTGTCACATCCACGGATAGTATTAGTTTCACATTTCTGTTCTTAGTATTTCCCCAGCATAGGCTCAATAATCCTTTGGATTTGAGATTGAGGAGCATTCTGCCTGTTGAAAGTATGGGCTGATAGTTGTTTTTCATGTATCATATAATTATAAGCCTCCATTTTACTTAAAATCGTAGGAGATGATTTTAGCTGCAGGATGATTACTGTTCTTCTAAGATGTTTTCTTTTGTTGTTCTTGTATTATGTTCAAGTGTGTAAAGCTGCTTGTTTGATAGGATCAATTAAGGTTATGACTTATAGATAAATACTTGGTTAACTAGGAAAAATAACATTTGAAAGCTGCTGGGCACTAAAGGAAATTTGTGTGATTTTTGGTTCTAGTAGAATGTACAAACTGCTATTAAGTTGCAACTTAGTATTTGCTGTGAGCTTTGTAAAATGAGTGGTGAATCCAGGTGGATTGATTTACTATACATAAAAGGAGATTTTTTTGCTTTGATTTGAATCATGTTGGACTGTGCCTCTATTTATTTGCTTACTTTTTAGGATTTTTTCATTCCTTTGGTTGCCCCCATTGGTTGTTTTGCCCTAAGCTCTTGTTATGCTTAACCCAATTGTCTTGTCTTGTAATATTTCATCATTGTTATGCAGTCTGGACGAGAGAGCCTCAATCTTGGACTTAAGAGTGGAATGTCAGGATCTAGAGAAGTTTTCTGTCATCAATCGTTTTGCCAAGTTTCATGGCCGGGGGCAAGCTGACGGGGCAGAGACCTCATCATCCTCTGATGCAATTGTGAGTGCTCACAAATTCTTCCCTCGGAGATATGTTACTGCACTACCGATGCCCAGGAATCTCCCTGATAGGGTACAATGTCTTTCACTTTGATCATTAATTAATTGATTTTTCCCTTTTTTTTGGCCAATTGTCTTCTTTATCCCTCATGCTTCTCTGGTCCAATTCCTTCCAACTTAAATATTGGCACTTGCTCATAATTGAACCACACAAATGGAAATGTAGGAGAAGAATGTCTCCTTAAAGGCAGTGGAGGATCTTAGATCTTTTCAGTGTAGGCCATTGATGTCATATTCTTGAGAAATATAAGTTGGTCTTTGTATACTTGTTTGAAAATCTTGAGAGAAAGTGAGGTGCCCCGTGATTTTTCGGTAAATGGGGAGAACAGAAGAGCATTCAGATTTTTCAACAGATAGCTGAATTTTCAGGTAATTAAATGTATTTATTCAGCCTTTGGATGCGTTCCATTCATAAGTAAAGGGTTTTTCCTTTCTCCTCGTCTCGTCTTTCCTATCTCAGACTGAATGGGGCTGGGGTTTAGGAATTGCTGATGTTTACAATATAATGAGCCGAAGCCTTGAATGGGTTATATAAGCTATGAATTTTAGTTTAGGCTATTTCTCTGTTTCAATTATATATTTGGTACTGGTGATGCATTCTTTCTCTTTGCCTCGTAAATTAACAGGAAACGAAACGGTCAAGGATGTCCATGTTATTGGTTTTTGGAAAGCACACTTTATGTTAATAATTTCATTTCATGCCTTTAATTGAGAAGTTAAAAGTTGCAAGTTGTGTGGTGAAATGGGCTTGGTTCAATGTAGAAATTGTAATTTTTATACCTTAAAATGCCATTAGGTATTGAATGCGAAATTGTAATTATTTAATTCATTTAGAAGTAAAATATATAATAATTTAGTGACACAGGACAACTTTTCTTCAACCTACTTAATTTCCTGTTGTGTTCAATCTTGAAACAAGTTCATGGTGAAGGTTGAGAAACCATAGTCAATTTGGACAAAAAAAAAAAAAAGAAAAAGAAGGGAAACCGAGATCCATATCAGATGCACAGAAAACAATTCAGTTATGATCATGAACTAGAAAAGAATTTCTTTTCGAGTTTCATCAATGTAAGCAGTTTAAAATATTTATATTGCTGTTCAAGGATTTTGGTTTCTGTGGTTGTATCAAAGAGTTGGAATTCTTTTATTTGTATATTTTAGTATTAATATCCAAATCTGCAACGACATTAAGATATTAACTACTTAACATGAAAAAGGCCAAACCTAAGCCAACCTTGATTTGATCCTTACTTAAACCAACGTTAATCTTGACCCTAACTCAGACCAATCTATCTATCATCATATTCGAATTTAATTTAGACCTTGTCTGCTACCATCACCACCCCATTAGCCAAATGTTCACTGATAGCCAATACCGTATGGTTTGAATTTTTGGTTTTGTGCTGCTAATTGAGGAATTAGACAATCAGAGCAAACTTGAGATTTTGAATTTGTAGGTCTTTGGCTTGAATCTCTGATAGGGGAGGGCGGAAGTTCACATGTATAAAAATGAACAAGAAAGACTGATACAATTAAAGATAATTTGATTTAGCCAATCAGCCCTCTGAAAATCATTTGCTCATGCATGCATCTGTCATGAAATTGCTCCATCGGTGTTAGAACTAAATAGCAGACTAATACTTCTTTCATGGCACCTAACATCTTCTATTAAGGTTGAGCTTCAAAAATTGCACAACAAGATTGGTATGCTACCTATTCTGATGGTTCTTAGACAACATAAGGAGTTTATGAGAGGGAAATATGCATTTCCTCCCCAGTCACTGCAAATATTTCATCCACCCTGGCAAGGAAAAAAATAAAAAAAAAAAGAATATTAAAACTTTTGTACCTATTTGTTACTCAGCTGCAGTATGGAAGTAACATATCTAGTTCATGCGTATTTACAAAGTGAAGTGTATGCATGCTTCCATGGGCATGTGCATGTGCATGAACAATTATGGAAAAGTTACTCTCAAATTCCATCATTACCTATGAACATCTATGTTCACCTCAGCAAGCCAGGTTGTAATATACACCTGCAATGAAAACTAGAGATATTAGAATGATTAGCTTTAATATTTATTTATTCATTACATTAATTAGAAACATTTAACTCCAAAGAATGTTGCGTGCCAGCTTTTAGGATCTAACAAGGAGGATTTGGATTTAATCTCCTACTTGACAGTGGAGTATAGCTTCTCCACTACTCTCCAATCATCAACATCAACAAACGGACAAAAAATTGCATTTGCGGTATAGTTGAACTATCACTAGAAACAGCAGAGAGGGGCAACGAAAGAAGAAGACAAAAAAAGGAAAAACCCTTCACTTATTATTCCCTGCAGCACATATGGGACCTCCAGTATATTAAACACTATAAAATATGAGCTAACAAGAGAAACCAGTTATTAAATCCTAAGCTCTGGAGTTAGTTTTTGATCCATAGTGGACAGTCACTCCATGGGTCTGTAAACATCTCAGTGTTTTGGCATATTCACTTCTATTTACCAAGAAACGAGAATTTATTCATGCGTACAAGTGTAGGCAACGATTTCAAGTTGCACCTCCAAAAACCAGCAAATCTTTCTCTGCCCCCTCTATTGCTACTGGATGCTGAAACACTTATGCACAGTGTACGGTATAAAACAAAAGAACATCTATAATTTTGCTAGGTTGCATTAGAGATGCAATGGTGCATCATGAAGATAGCAACTGACCTATTTGTGATCTTTTTGCTAGTGGATGCTACAGCTTAAGAGAGACCTTATACAGCATAGACAAATGAGTCTATGTATTTTCAACATATTAATTAGTATAATGGATCAGCACCTGCAAGATTTCATGGTCTGGATGACGACTGCTTTGAAAAGCTGGCATATCAGATTTGCAATCCTTCAGTCTTGGATGGACTGGCTCAGATGTTTCTTCAGAATACAAGTTGCATACTTTCAGATCACTAAATTCTCCAGGGTAAAGCTCATCAGACCAGCACAACCGATTGACTTGGGAAACTTCACAACCGATAGACAGTAACTCTAATAGAAGAAACCGCTGTGCAATGCAAAAGGTAATGCAGGATATAAGGGATGGCAACACTAACAAAGAAATATGATAGAAAACACATTCGAATCATGTACAGGTTGTACGTATTGTAGAACAAGCCTATTCCATATACCTTCAAACTTAGTTCCAACTTGAACATCCGACTGAGCTCTTCAGCTGATTTTTCTGAGATCATTCCAAGATCATAATTACCCAAATGAACTGTATATATATAAACTCATGCATATAATATTATGAAGTCTCTCAGATTACCAAATTAACCTGCAATTTCACTGACAAACATATCTTATATGACTTTGCATGACTCTAGTAATGCTCCAATCCAATATATAAAGATTAAGCTTCAATAAGTATACAAATCTCTTTTCAAAAAAATTAAGTATACAAATCTAAGATTGTTGGGGTCGATCACTTATCCTCATTCTTAATTTTTTTTTTCATACCTTATACCTTCTCTTTGAAAACTTAGTCTAAATTTACTTCAAAACCATGCTCAGGAATTAATTTGAAAAATTCATATGCACTCAATAAAAAGAACGAGCCCTTAACAGTGACATGAAAAAGGATGAACAATATTATCTCCCATTATATAAGAATGATGTTTTTCCAATGAAATACATAGATGCTGATGGTCTTAATTTTGAATATTTGCATGGTTATACAATCCTGAAACTCCACAAAAGCTATATGTGGCATCAATGAATTCCGATTAAAGCCATACCAAAAGAAGAGATTGACCAAAATCTGAAGACTGCAATTCCACCACAATCACCAGTGTCATTAATGTCCTCACTAGAGCTGGAAAATTGTACAAGTGAATTACTGCTGGCTACTTTGAGAAAAGATCTCATGGATTTACTAGCATTGACCATGTGCATTACAACAGCCACCTGCAGTCAACTTATCACCAGAAAAAGGGTAAATACAGTTGCACAAAACAGAGAATGACTTTAAAGACTCCCAGATGTTTAGCCAGTGGAATTGATACCACAACCAAAGTTTAGCAGTTCCTAGGAAATTAGCAGCTATAACACCTTCCAACAACTTTTCTTCAGTGAATTAAAGTGCAGTTAAGACTATACATATGTGTGTGTATGTAAGTATGTATACATATGTTTACACATGTTTAGCATAGATATGTAACGATGGATGTTTGATACAACACATAGAAACAGTCAAGTTTGATTAAATATATGTGAATACCAGACAGTTGTCATTTTGGAACCTTAGATGGTATATGCATGTTCCAGTAAGATGCCTTTAGTAAAGGCATAAAAATTACATACCATGTCCTTGTAAGATGACAAAAATTTGCTGCGATGAAGCTCCTATAAGAAAGATATTTCATTAGTACTATACTACTATAAATATGAAAGGGTATTTTGCATGTTTCTCATACCAATAATTCCTATGGGTGAAATATGTTTTATGTTTTTAAATTCATTATATTTTGCTTATAAAACCAAAACAACTAAATTTCATTCACAAGACACCAAGTCACAGATAGGCTTATAGAAAAACTCATAAAACTCAAGCTACAGCAAGATCACCTCTTTCTTGTCCTTAGAATGAAACATTAGCATGATTTAACAGAAAAGGAAATGAAAGAAAAAAATTAATGAAACTAAGGTGTATAAATAGCATACTTGCTGCTCAAATAACTTGAAAGAAGCTTTATTTCGAATATCTGGCATATCCTTTAAAGCACCGAGCTCCATCAAAGGCATGTATCTAAGTTTAGCATAATCCAAAAAGTCAAATTAACGAAAAAAAAAAGAAAAGGAAGAAGATATACAATCAATAATTCGGGGAAAAAAATAAAAATTGGGGTTTTTACTTTTGAGATAAATAAGCGTTGACGAGAGAAGTAGCGTGAGTTCTGGCAGAAGAGGAAGAAGAGAGCCATTGTTGGCGGTTAGAGGCCATTTTGGACCATTGGTTCCTTAGGTTGCGTTGCGCAGCTATTCTCCATTGCCTTGCCAAAGATGGAGGTGGCATTGGGGAAGAGCTCGAGCTTTGTGATTTTGGCTCTGGAGTTTCCATCTTCCAGTCCAGGGTTTCAGTTCGATAACGGTCCCGCCGTTGTTACAAAGCTTAGCCTAGGTCATTGCCTGGTTGGGCCGGATTAACGTGGCAGGTCCTACCCGGACCAGCTTTAACAGGCCCAAGCCCAAGCTCAACGTCAGAGTCAGTGGGTTGTATGTATTGTCAAAAATTAAACATCAGTAATGACCATTAAATATTTTGATTTTGTTTGGTTAAAAGACTTATCCAGTCTTTGTATTTTTTAATTTTATTTAATTTAATT